GGAGAGGCCTTATGAGGAAGAGAAAGATCTCAGCTAGACCACAAAGGAAAAGCCACGTAAGGACAGTGAGGAAGCCTCTGCAAGCCAGGAAGAAAACTCTTACCAGGAACCGAATCAGTACCTTGATCTTGTACTTCCCAGCTTCTAGGACTCTGAGGAGTACATTTCTGTTCTTCAAAACCACCTGCTCTATGGTAGTTTGTTATGGCAACCTGAGTGACTAAGACAATATATCTCTGGTTTTCCATAGACTCATAAAGTTCTATCAAAAAAATTGACATAGCTATTAATAATATTCTTTCTTCAGATTAACCGCAGCCAACATACTGCCTTTGCTGTTCCTGCACCATTTGGAAACTGACCTCTTTAAGCATGACAGGTGACAGTTGGGAAGTCCTTCAATTTGTTTAGTATTTTAATTTGCATCTCGGGAGTGCCTTGGAATTCTGTCTCCTGAATTGAAATAAGGGGCATATAAATGCAGGTGAAAACTAGTTTACTTAATGGGCTGTAAGGTTATGTTACAACCTAGTGATCAATTGGATATTTAATGATACCAGGGAACATCATTACTTTTGTTGCACTATGATGTTTTGTTATAATAGTGTTATAACTAATTTTTTAAACAAGAATCTTTTAGACATTGAAATATTTAAAAGGAAATGATTTGGTGTCTGGGATTCATTTGAAAATAACCTGGAGGGTCAAAGTTGTGAATTGGCAGTATCAAGGAAACAGGAGTAGTCAGGGTATGGTGATTGTAGAAGCTGGATGATGGATACATGGCATTCTTTATATTCTCTACATCTGTATGTGTGAAATTTTCTGTACTAGAAAGATTGTTTAAATAATTTATGATTGTGTATAACTAATGACTGCACTATGCTTTCTTTATCTTACCTTGCATTATTCTGGTACCCGATAAAATTAACATATAAAGAATCTTCAACTTAAATGTCTTACCAACCATGAAAATTAAAAAGCTAGGCATTAGTACACATTGGACTTCACTTACCATGCATTTATTCAGCAGCCACTGCATGCTTTCATAAAGATTTTCTTACTCTCTGTGAAGTAGGTGTTATCTGCACTTTACAAATGAGAAATGTGAACTCTAGCTATGTAATGCACAGGTAGAAAATTGCAAAATTGGGATTTTTCTTCCCATTTGGCCATGTCTTTTCAAATTTTATATTTTATTTCTATTATATCACACTGCTTCTCAGACATAACTTACTACCCTTCCTTTTACGTTGTTTTCCTTTTAGGAGTGAGCCTGGCACAACAGGTCAGACAGACTTACATGTGAAAATATGAAAGATTTCTGGGGTGTTCGTCCTCTCCTGTTAAGGCAGCTAGAGTCCCAAGGCAGGAATTAAAGGTATACTGCACGTTAAGGAGACCATGGAACAGTGAGCTGATGAAATTCTAGACCTAACTTGCCAAGCTTTTGTTCTCTAAAAATTCATTTGATTCTTATATATATTTGTGTGGGATACTGTACAAGATATTCAACTGATACTCTCACCTTACCTTCAGAACACAAGAGCTCAACATTGAGGGCATTATGGTAACTGAAATATGTCTGATGGAGAAAGAAAATACTGCATGCTCTCACTTATATAAGAAATCTTAAAAAAACCAGACTCATAGAAGCAGTGTAGATTAGTGCCGGGGGTGTGGTGGTGTTGAGGGAAATGGGTAAAGACAAGAAAGGGTACAAACTTCCAGTATTTGAATAAGTTCTGGTCATCTAATGTACAGCATGATGACTAGTTAACAATACTGTATCGTACAGTCAAAACTTGCTAAGAGTAGATCTTAAAAGTACTCACCACAAAAAAAAAAAAATGATGGGGCATTGGGTAACTGTGAGGTGATGGATGTGTTCACATTATTCTGGTAATCATTTTGCAAAATACATGTATATCAAATCATCATGTTGTACATCTTAAACTTATACAATATGTCAGTTATATCTCAGAGCTATGGGAGGAAATGTTCAGTCTCAACACAATTACCTCTGTCCTTTTCCTCCTGCATCTCCACTCTACCCTATCGATTTACATCCTCAATTGAAGCCATGCCCAAGCAACTCAGGAAATGGAGGAAATACAAGGTAGAAACATCCCCTAACTAATACTGACCAGCTGTCCCTGCCAATCATCGCTTTCTTCTCTCTCTTCCCAAGGATATGTCTAGTTAGCACTTGAAGGGAGATGGGACAACTCCCTAGTCCATAACAACTGAACTTTAAGAATACTTATATATGGTGTAGCAGACCTTAACAAAAGTCCCACCCAGAAGTTAGTGGGAAGAGGCCAGTTTTTATAAACACGGTTAAAGCAAGACTTAAATCCAAGAAAAGGTCCTCACTGAGTCCTTAAGTAGGATCTAGGTATTTATACTCCTTTATAGCCTTCTCCCACACATTCCCCCACTAATCAAAAGCACCATACTCAGGCCAATCTAGACTCAACTAAGCTTAAGACAATCTCTTGCCGATTACCCCCACAGAGTGGGTGATGTGAGATAGACTTGCAGCTCCATGGTGTACTTTCTCTGCCCCTGGATTATTGCATATCCAGCTCACAGAAAGTTAACAGAGTTAAAAGAGCACAGCCTCTAGTTTTATCCAGAATATTCTGACAAGAAAAAAAACACTGAATCATTGGAGAAGCTATGTCATGTTTGATTCTTGAAAAGATTTGACACTTAAGCCCAAAGAGATTGGAAAACTAGGAAATGAGAAATTGAAAGTTTGAAGTTAGATTGAGAGAAGACCTGCAGATTATTTAAGGGCATAAACTTGAAAATGCCTCTGACCTGCCTCTGAAGAAGGCCTTTAGTAGGATGGAAAGCTGAGAGCTGACATTCTCCCCTAGCTAATCCACCTGTCCCTGGCAGCAGGCAAATGATGGGATCGATACTGTGTTTTTTAGTAAAACATTAAGCCCAAAGTCTTGGTTTAAATTTAAATTTTTAGTTTTTCACATGTACTAGAAACATTTTTCTTCCATCTGCACACACAAGTACAGTTATCCCTCTCCCCTTTAAATTCTTCAAGTGAAACTAGTTTTGCTTTCCCTCTTCAAGGCACCACAGGTCTCCAATAGTCCAGGCTCAAAAGTTTCTTCATTTTATTTATTTGGTTTTTGTTTCACAGTCAGAAACTGTAATCCAGCTAGAGGTGGAGGACTGAAGTGAGAGCACAAAGATTATAGAATATAGTGAGCAAGTGAGGGTGGTGGAGTGTGCACCTGAGTAGTGGAAGGAATGGTCTGGAGGTTAAGATAAAATACAAGTTAGATTTACAGGCATTGTCCATAATCAGCAATAGTGAGCTTGGTGGTCCTGCCATTCTGGGACCTATATGCTCCATGGCTTCCACAATATTCATGTACTCTTCTACCTTGCCAAAGACCGCATCTTTGCCATCCAGCAACTCTGTGTTTGCAGTGTGGTATGTGCACTCTGAGGTGATGGCACCCTTTGTGTCAGGTACGGCTTTTGCCATGGACAAAATGCCTGGACCCACCAGTATGCATCAGGACAAAACATCATCAACTTGCTCCCCACGGATGGACTTGCTGCCAGTGCTATTACAGTGTGTGAAGGCACCACCCTGGAACATAAACCCCAGAATAACCGAAAGTAGGAGCATTTATAGCCAAATCTTGTTTTCCCATGTTCAGAGCATGAAAGTTTTCTGGCTGTCTTTGGAACTTTGACAAGGGCTTGCTATAGAGGCCAATGTGTCCGAGAACTGGGTGGGGTTGACCTTACCTGGGTAGTGGCAGTGCAGAGTTTGCAAAACCAAATTTTCTTCATTCTTTAGTCCCAATTGGTTGTCTTTCCTGGAAAGGGATTGTGTTTATACCTTCATCTCCACAAACAAGAACTCTGCCCTAACTGGCCTTTATCACTTTTCTTTCAGAGTACTGAGTCTTTTGCCCTCTTTGAATTTGACCTTTCCTTCCTGCCCTCAGACTATCCTGCCTTACTTTCACTGTGATCTTCCTTTATCTTTCTTTAAAGATTTTTTTTCTCTTTCAGAGATGTCTCTTATTCTCTTTTTCTTTCATTTATTTATTTATTTATTTATTTATTTATTTATTTATTTATTTATTTATTTATTTATTTTAGAAGGGTGCGGGAAGGAAGAGAGAAACAGGAGAGAACCAGTTGCCTCTTGCATGCCCCCAGCCTGGTCCACAACCCAGGCATGTGCCCTGACTGGGAATTGAACCTGCAACCTTTCAGTTTGCAGGCTCGAGCTCCATCCACAGAGCCAGCTGCTAGGGCCACTCTCAAGGGCCACTTGAGAGTCTTCTGAGCATTCCCTACAGTGTATCTAGCTCATTCTTTTTTTTTATGGGTATCATTTTTTACTTTTTTCTCTTTTGTTGTTGACATTATTATAGATATCCTCATATCCGCACCTCTGCCTGCCTCCACCTAGTCCTCACCTCCCTTCCTTCTGGCCATCACCACACTGTTGTCTGTGGCTCTGGGTCATGCATATATGCTCTTTGGCTAATCCCTTCACCTTTTATCTAGTCCTCCCTCCCCTCAGACAGTTGTCAGTCTGTTACATGTGTCCATGCCTCTGTTTCTGTTTTATTCATCAGTATATTTTGTTCATTGACTCCACATTTAAGTGAGATTATATAGTATTCAGAATAAGACTGGCTTATTTTACTTAACATAATAATCTCTAGGGCCCTGGCTGGTGTGGCTCAGTGGACTGAGCACTGACCTGTGAACCAAAAGGTCCCATAAGTTCGATTCCTGACCAGGGCACATGCCTGGGTTTCGGGCCAAGTCCCCAGTGGGGGCTGTGCATGAGGTGGCTGACCGATGTTTCTGTTGTCTTTCTCCCTCCCTTTCTCTCTCTAAAAATAAATAAAAGCCTTAAAAAAGAAAGAAAGAAAGAAAAATAATAATCTCTAGGTCCGTCCATGCTGTCACAAAAGGTAAGATTTCCTTCTTTTTTACAGTCTAGGCTCATTCGTGATCTAACCCTATCCAGACCCTGATTTGGGCCGACCTGCGGTCAAGAATGATAGTACAGTATTTGAAATACCACGCATAGTTCCTGACATAAAAGGTACGGTAACTTCTTTTTTCTCTTATCAAGTTAGTTTCTTTACTGCCTATCAATGGTTATATCTGCGTCATAGATTATTCTCCCTCCAAAAATTGTATTCACTCCAATATTCTGTCTCTCCAAATCTATCAAACATTAACAAATTCAAATTCTACCTTCAACTTTTATTTTATTTTTTTGATAATGTTTTATTGTATTTTATTTTTTTCTATTACCATTTAGCCTCCTTATACCCCCAACCCAACCTTCAAATTTTTGAATAATCATGCCCTGGCTGGGTAGCTCAATTGGTTGGAGCATCATCCTATACACCAAAAGATTGCAGGTTCGAATCCTGGTCAGGTTACGTTCCTGGGTTGTGGGGTTGATCCCTGATTGTGGCACATAAGGGAGGCAACTGATCAACGGATCAGTGTTTCTCTCTCACATTGATTATCTATATCTATAGATATCTATATATAGATATCTATAGATATAGATAAGCTCTATCTTTCTCTCCCACCCCTCCCCAACCTCCACTGCTCCATCTCTTCCTTTACCTCTCCTCCTTCTCCCCCTCCCTCTTTCTCTAAAAATCAATAAACATGTCCTCCATGAGGATTTAAAAAATTTTTTAAACAATCTTGAAAGTCCAGGACTTGAAACAAATGAAAAACCATACCTATTTCTTGGCTAAGAAATTCAACATCATAAGATATTGTTCACTCAGCATATGTCAAAGACACTAACAACCCTTTTTGGAGAGTGAAGGAAATGAGAGGGGAGCTAGCCAAGCTGATTCTAATGCTCATACAGAAAAAATACACAGAAATGGCCCAAAAACCCTGGCAAAGAAGAGCAATAAGGGGAAATTAGCATCTGATAGATATTAGATTGTAAAGCCTCAGTAAGGGCACTAATCTACCTTCATGAGCTAAACACCTCCCAGTGCCAGTGCACTGAGAATTAGGTTTCAACCTAAGAGTTTGGGGAGGACACAAAGATTGTTGCATCAAAAGCACCTGTAGCACAGCATAGGGGACAAAAGGGATCTATAATTACTGACAGGGAAACATTAGCTTATATGAACATTATTTTTAGAAAGGTGCAGAAAGTGTATATAGTGTGCTATATTTTAACAAGGGGAAGAGAGATATATGTAGGTATTTGTTTGTATTTGTATAAAGAAACACTTGAAGATCTTAAAAGTTACCCTTGGGGACAATGATGGGAGCAAGACTTGTCAGTGTACACCCTTTGATAATGTGTTGTTATTGAAACAATATTAATTAAATATACTTCATAATATAAGTAGAATACATAATATATATTTTAATATATATAAAAGTTTTCCCCATCTATAAATAGAAATGCAAAAAATTAAGAGTTGGGAATGCCTTCCGAGATCACCTGAAATAGTTTCCTCATTTTAAAAGGGAGAAAATAAAGAGTATAATGGAGACATGTTCTGCGTGAGCTTGTTTGTTCCAGAACTAGAATGCAGGTCTCTTAATAGGTGCTGTGTCCTCTACTCCATGTGATCTCACTTTTTGTTTAAAGATTGTATTCATTTTTAGACACAGGAAAAGAGAGGGAGAGAAACCCCATGGGGGTTGCCTCTCCCACGTCTCCACCAGGAACCTGGCCCGAAACCCAGGCATGTCCCCTGACTGGGAATCGAACATGCAGCCTTTCAGTTCACAAGCCCGCACTCAATCCACTGAGCCACACCAGCCAGGCTGATAACACTTGACTAACTCACTAATGTCTCACTCTGTTTGCTGGGCAAGGAATACCTTTAAAGATGTAAACATTTATGAGAAATTAAGAAATTAATCAGCAAACAGTGAGACATTAGTGAGTTAGTCAAGTATTATCAGCCTGGCTGGTGTAGCTCAGTGGATTGAGTGCGGGCTTAAGAACCAAACAACCGTGGTTCAATTCCCAGTCAGGGCACATGTCTGGGTTACAGGCCAGTTACCAGCTGGGGATGCACAAGAGGCAACCACACACTAATGTTTCTCTTCCTCTCTCCTTTCCGTCCCCTCTAAAAATAAATAAATAAAATCTAAAAAAAAAAAAAAGATAAAGGTATTCCTCTCTCTTCCTCTCTCCGTCCCCTCTAAAAATAAATAAATAAAATCTTTTAAAAAAAAAGATAAAGGTATTCCTCTGTATAGTTTGTAGCACCTCACACAATGTTTAGCCCCTAATTGCTTTGTTCACTTATTCAACAATTTATTGAAAGTTCATTAAATGCCAGGCACACCGCTAGGTCTCTAAACTGTCAATTGGAATACTGGAAGTGAAGGTAGAAGTTTTAATCCTTGTCCTAAGCATTGAAATTAAGGCAGCAAAGCCTGTAATTAATTCACCTACCTATGTGAAACCATATTTAAATTTACTTTCTTAATTATTCTTCTTGGGATAGGGCCTCATCAATGGGTGACATGCATACTGGTGATCATATGTAGGTTGCAGGTGGACAGGACTACTGATTATCAAGCCCAGTGTTAGGTAAATAGAGAACCTTTGGCCTGCCTGCTAATTATAACTCATAGATTCCTTTCTATTCTGCTTCTGAAAATGGGATCACTCTTGGTTCTCGGTAACCTTCTAGAAAAAAACCCTGTCCCCTGGCACCCTTTCTCCTGATTCTATTAGCAGTCTGCTCCATACCAGACTGTCAGTGTCTCAAAGACAGGAACCATTTGTTTCTTTGCATTAGTACCTGTTATAGTGCCCAGCACATTTTAAATGTTGGTAGAAGAACCAAACATTGCCTACATCCATGCATACACTATACTCACGATCCAAATGTGTCTCCTCCAATGTGTTTCCCACTAGAGTGAGTTTCACTTGACTTCTAATCTGTTTTAATGTTTCTGATTCCCAGCTATAAATGCAGTAGCTCCCATTCTGTTTTCCCACAACCATAACTATAATCTTCCCTCTATCCTTTCTGGAAACATCCCCTAACCACTGAGCCTACTGGGAAGCAAGTGTTTCCCTGGTACTCAAGATAAAACTTGGCATGTTTATTTGTCCTCAAGGACCTTCTCAATACAAAGTTTGATTCAAGTCTGACCCCTGATCCTGGCAGGTTGTGCTTCCTGTAGGTTCAATGGTTTCTCCAGTCGTTTTTCAAGAAATCTTCTGAGTATATATATATGCATGATGAGATGGAAAAGTGCTTGTGCTTATCAGTCTTGCATAACTGCTTCAAATTTTGGTCTGGCACTCACCAGCTCCGTGATATTGAATAAGTCACTAAAGCATTCTGAGCTTTGTTTTCCTATTTGTAAATTTAGAATAATAATGTTTATCTCATGATGTTATAGTGATTTAGAAATAAGACATGTGACAATCCCTGACATGCAGTTACTACTATAAACACAACCCCCTTACTTTGCACAAAGTGGCAAATTAATGAATAAACAAACAGCTTTCTCAAGCAACAATACTTATTTATGGAAACCTGAACTACTACTTTCTGAAGACGAGGACAAACCAGGTCTCTTGGTAACTTGCCTTGGCCTGTCTCTAGCATTTTAGCTTAGGAACATTGTGCTCTTGAGGTGTGTCACAGTATGTTCTGATCAAGGGCCAAGTCAGGTTTTTCCAATGGCATTGGTATGTAACGGTCCCTCTTACTACACTACATGACGTCCTTGGGTATGACAAGGCAGAGTCTCTGGTCTTTAGGTAATATCCATCTATCAGAGAATATAATATATTTATATAAATAACAATTACACATGATAGAAAGTGATGTGGCCTAAGAGATTTATAGAGAAAATGCTATAGCAATTTAATAAGAAAAACTCTTCCAGTTAGAGAAGATCAAAAATGCGTTTACTCAGTTGATAGAAATTTATCATAGATGTGTCTGTGTAGAATATTAGGCCAGACACTAGGATGCAAAGATTAAAATTATATTACACTTGCTTTGGAGGAGCTTAGTAACTAAGGAGAAGATGACAGAAAAAAATAATTGCAGTACTATGTGGTAAGGAGTGTTTCATAGTGGTTATTTTCAATGTGCTTTGGAAGCAGAGATCCAGAGTAATTAATTCAGTTTAGGTTGTAGGTGGACAAGACTACTGATTATCAAGCCCAGTGTTAGGTAAATAGAGAACCTTTGGCCTGCCTGCTAAGGATCTTTGTAAAGATCAATGTAAAGATGTTTGAGCTCATTCTCTTTTTTTTCTTTTTTTAAAGATTTTATTTATCTGTAGAGGGGAAGGGAAGGAGAGAGGGAGAGAAATATCAATGTATGGTTGCCTCTCATGAGTCTCCTGCTGGGAACTGGCCTGCAACCCAGGCATGTTTTCTGACTGGAAATCAGTTTGTGTTTGTTTGGTTCTCAGGCCTGTGCTCAATCTACTGAGCTACACCAGCCAGGGCTGAGCTGGTTCTTGAAGGATGAAGAGGAGTTTACCATATAGAGAAGATGGGAAAGTATATTCATTCAAGAGTTGGCCTTTGATTTCGAAAAGATGGAAGAATTTAGACACCAGAAGTGGGAGAATATAGAATTGCATCAGCAAAAGTAAAGAAACCAGAAGAAAGCATGAGGTGAAATAGTTCTTTCTGTAGTACTGGTGAGTAAAAATAATAAATGAATTTGACCCAGTTTGTGGTGGGATTGAAGACAATAGGAAAATTCATTAAAGCTCTTCAAACTAGGACGTGATAAGGTTAGAACTTTGACTTAAGAGGATTAATCTAGTTTTATACCAGATAGTTTGGACAAGGGCACACTGGGAGCAAGGAGGGCAGTTAAGAGACCATTAAAATATCTGGATAAGAAGTAATGAGATCAGGTAAAAAATGGTAGGAGGAATGGAAGGGAGAGGCCAAGTGGAAGATGTTTTATAGACCTGGGATTATAGTTATTGGCTACCAGAGTCTCTGAGAGAATAGTGTACTCTTAACAGAAATTAATGTAAGAGATAAGGCTTGGGAGAAGTGAAAAAAATTCAGTTTGGGTACATTTGCTTTGAGATTCTTCAATAGATTAATTTCCATAGACTGATAGAAACAATAGATGAGACAGTAGTTAGAGACATGGGAAATGAGGAGGGAGAAGCATTAAATGTGATTACTTTTTTTGTGAACTTTAGCAATGAAGGAAAAGAGTACATAAGGAAAGAAGTTGAGGGTTTTATTGTATAATGTACTGGAGACACTGACTTTGTTTGTGAATTAAAAGAGAAAATGAAGAACAGACCAAAAACTGAAGGTGAAAGAAGAAGGGATAAATGATAAGAGAGCAAGATCATGCTATCAGAGTATTAGTAAAGAAGAAGATATAAAATGCTCCCAGATACAACACAAAACTTCCAGGTTTAAGACATAATGATCTCAGATTCTACTTCAGATGATCCCAATATCTTTCAGTTCCTTTGCAATTACATAAACCATACTCAGACATCCGGCCAAGATGGAGGTATAGGTAGATTCACTTTTCCTTCTCATACAACCAAAAGCACAACAACAAATTTAAAAACAAAAAACCCCAGAACTGTCAGGAAATCAAACTGTATGGAAGCCTGACAACCAAGGAGTTAAAAAAGAAATATTCATCCAGGCTGGTAGAAGAAGTGAAGTTAGGCAGCCAGGGCAGAGAGGACAGGCATTAAGGCAGCAGCTAGAAGGCTGGGCACTCCCACATTCACGTGCAGATAAACCAGAAGGAACAACTGGGGAGCGAGACAGACTGCACAACCTAAGATTCCAGCTTGAGGAAATAAAGCCCAAAACCTTTGACTGTAAAAATCTGTGGGAGTTGTGGCAGGAGAAACTCCCAGCCTCACATGAAAGTTTGTTGGAGAGACCCACAGGGACCTAGGACGTATACAAAACTACCCACCTGGAAATCAGCACCAGAAGGGCTCAATTTGTTTGGGGATATTGGGGAAGTGACTAAAAGCTGAGCAAGTGGCATTGTTCCCTCTCTGAACCCTCCCCAACATACAGTACCACAATGCAGCAACATGGGTTTATCCTACCCTGGCAAATAGCTATAGCTCTGTCTCTTACAGCATAACAAGCACACTGAGACAAAAAAAATATGGCCCTAATGAAAGAACAGATCAAACTCCAAAAATAGAACTAAATAATGAAGAGATAGACAACCTATCAGATGCAGAGTTCAAAACACTGGTAATCATGATGCTCACAGGATGCTTGAGTATGGTCACAAAATAGAGGAAAAAATGAAGGCTATGCAAAGTGAAATAAAAACATACAGGGACCCAATGGTGAAGGGAAGGAAACTGGGACTCAAATCAACGATTTGGAGCAAAAGGAAGAAATAAACATTCAACCAGAACAGAATGCAGAAATAAGAGTTCAGAAAAATGAGGAGAGGCTTTAGAACCTCTGGGACAACTTTAAATGTTCCAACATCCGAATCATATGGGTGTCAGAGGAGGAAAGGAAGAGCAAAAAATGGAAAACTTATTTGAAAAAATAGTGAAGAACTTCCCCAACTGACCAAGGAAATAGACTTCCGGGAAGTCTAAGAAGCTCAGAGAGTCCCAAAGATGTTGGACCCAAGGAGAAATATAACAAGATACATCATAATTACATTACCCAAGACTAAAGGAAAGAATCTTAAAAGCAGCAAGCGAAAAGGAAACAGTTACCTACAAAGGAGTTCCCATTAGACTATCAGCTGATTTCTCAAAAGAATCCTTTTAGGCAAGAAGGGGCTGCAAAGAAGTATTCGAAGTCATGAAAGGCAAGGACCTGCATCCAAGATCACTCTATCCAGGGAAGCTATCATTTAGAAGGGCAGATAAAGCACTTCCCAGGTAACATTAAGTTAAAGAAATTCATCATCACCAAGCCCTTATTATATGAAATGTTAAAGGGACTTATTTAAGAAAAAGAAGATGATAAAAATATGAATAGTGTAATGACAACAAACTCACAACTATTAACAATTGAACTTTAAAAAAAAAACTAAGCAGACAACTAGAACAGGAACAGAATCACAAAAATGGAGATCACACAGAAGGTTAGCAGGGAGGAGGAGGGGATAATGGAGGAAAAGGTACAGGGAATAAGAAGCATAAATGGTAGATACAAAATGGACAGGGGGAGGTTAAGAATAGTATAGCAAATGGAAAAGTCAAAGAACTTATATGTATGACCCATGGACATGACCTAAAGCGGGGAGGTACAGGGCAGAGGGGAATAAAGGTGAGAAAAAATGGGATAACTGTAATAGCATAATCAATAAAATGTATTTTTAAAAACCATACTCTGACTGGATTGCAAAATGGCCTACTTAGTAAGAGAGGCACTTTGCCGAAGTAAAGTAGGAGTTGTGTAATTGCTTTCTCTAGGGTTCTGCTGGAGAGAGCTGCCTGTTCAAATACTTCAGATTTGATATCCCAGTATTCTGTGACTGGTTCTTTAAAAATGCTTTTCAATTTGGATAGATGTTAATTTTCAAACTTTCCCAACTCAGACATTTTAAAAATCAGGAATAAAACAAGAAAGCTCTGGAGAAGAAAAACCAGGTCTTTGAGCACAGCCTCACCTGTGACTTTGTGTTTGATTGGGCCTTAATGTGTGCAGGTGAACAAACAAACCCCTTTAGCTCGGTGACATAAACAGTTGGGGAAAATATGTTTTTAATTAAATACATAAAGCTTCTAGAAGAAAACAGAATATATGAATGACCTTAGAAAGGGCAAAAAATTTTTAAACAGGACACAAAAATCACCATGAGTGGGGGAAAATATGGTATATCCGAGCTATTAAACAATCCTAAACTTTTGTTCACCAAAATGCACCAATAAGACAATAAAAAGACAAGACGCAGAGTGAAAGAAGATACTCTCAATATGTCAGTAAAGAAGATGCATACCCAGAATATCAAGAAATTCTACAAATCAGGTTTTAAAAAATGACAGTCCAATTATAACATGGCGAATAGTTTGAACAGGCATTTCATGAAAGAGAGTATCCAAAGAACATTATGCAATAAACATTTTAAAGGGTACTCGGCTTCTTTAGTCATCATAGAAATGTATGTTACAACCAGAACAAAGTATCATTTTATTTTTTTAAAGATTTTATTTATTTATTTTTAGAGAGAGGGTAAGGGAGGGGGAAAGAAGGAGAGAAACCTATCAGTTGCCTCTCTCACACCTCCAGCTGGGGACCTGGCCTGCAACCTAAGCGTGTTCCCTCACCCGGAATCAAACCAGCAGCCTTTCAGTTCACAGGCCAGCACTCAATCCACTGAACCACACCAGCAAGGGCAAGGCATCATTTTAGCTATCGGAATGACTAAAATGAAAAGAACAGGAAATGTGTTGGCAAGGATGTGGAGTGAGTTAACTCACACAGCTGGTGGGAGAATAAGATAGTTCAACCTCACTAAAAGACAGTTCAGTAACAGGTATAAAAAAGCTTGGAATTTACACATTATTTGTTTTAGAAATGTCAATTCTGAAAATTTAGTGTAAGGTATTTATCATGGATGTGCAGTAATATTTACATTACAAATGTATATGTGTAATGTTTGGAACTGCCCTGCCTGATTTCAGAAGCTGTAACCCCCTCGTGGCTAAGACTGAGTGAGCAAACTTTGGACCATAAACCACTAAGGAGACAAAGCTTACCTCCCTGGCAGGAGCACCACCTCTGGTCCTTTTACTTCACCCTGCCTGGCCCCCAGTGCTTGATCGGTTAACCAATGACAAGTAAGATTCCTCAAGGCAGGGACGACCTAAGACAGGCACAATCATGGAGGGGCCCAGGGAAGGACTTGGAGGGCTACAGAAAAAGCGGGTGATGGACCCTTACCCCTTGGCTTTGACATAGCCTTGAGTCCTCATTCTGTCTGCAAGAAGTCTCCTAATCTCTTGGCTGCCTTACTTATTCTGCTTGACCTAAGCCTGAAACAATGCTGGAGGTGGGTGTGGCCCTGTTCTGGAAAGGGCAGGTTTCCCAGGGCATCAGGCCTAAGAAAGAATGCATAAAATCCTATGAAACCTACTTTGCTAAGACCCTGAATTTAAATAATAAGGGGCCAAGCAGGAAGTGAGTTTGTTCCCCCAAAGTTATATGGCCCTCCTAACTATCTGACACTGATTCAGAATAAGCCCTCAGAGTCCTTTGAATGGTATCTATTATTTAATCATTTCTGCCTGACAATGATTGATGGACTTTATTCCTGTCCAAAATGAACCCAAGAAAAGCATGTCAAAGTAAGGGTCGGGGCACTCTACCCTTGAGAGAGTGGCTGTGCTGTGCCATTTCCTCCACAGGACTCAGTAGTCTGTGTGAATTTGTCCCGCATCTCATCCACAATGTCACAGACCTCAGGAGCCGGGGTCCATATTAGTGTAACATATAAAAAAGCTTTTTTAATAATATTGTTTTTGTAATTTTGTTAAACCAGAAATTTAAATGTTTGATGTACAGTTAAATAAATTGAGGGATTGTATAAGAATATTGTACACTAAAAGAAAAAAACAATTATTTAAAAAATTTATCTTTTTTCAAGCAGACAATGAATGATAGTTGAAGCTGGGAGATATTGAACCATGGGTCTTCATTGTACTATTCTCTCAACTTTTTGGTGTGTTTGAAAAAAGTACTTTTGTGACACCTTTATGGACACAATATTTTATGTACCCTGTTCTTTGTTAAAATGTGAATCCATATCTTTCATCACAATTGGAGCTTCAGTCTCAAAATCTATAAAAGACTTAATTCACTGCTTGAAGAGTCTAAAAGATGAACTTTAATTAAAGTTGTGAAGCAAATACAAGCCTCTGCTAATTTAATGTGCATTGTTCAAGCAAGATTAATAGAGACCTTTCAGACTTCAGAAATCACTCTATTTACCCCAAGCCACTTAAAAACTTAACTCTGTGGGAGTTATCAATTTTCAAAAGATTAGTAGTCTCAGTTGATAGTTCTGACCTACAGCAGAAAAGTGTTTCAAAACTAGGCACAGAAATTCTCTATTTGCCCGTTTTCTTTCTTCAAGTAAATAAAAATATTTCTTAAATTGATGAGCTATATGACAGTTATCAAAGATTAAATTGTCATTTTCTGAAATGCTTGATTGGAATATGGTCTTTCTAAGCTGTCTAATTGTTCACTGTGTTTCAATCAGTAGACATAGGAAAGTTTTTTCCTCCTACTAAATGTACTTACTTGCTAATGACTGTTCTAACTCACTGAAGTTGTCTACTTTAACTTGAGTGAGAATTTTCTTTTTCACCTTGACTCTTCAAATTTAGGAGAGTCCAAGTCTCATCTCATTTCTAAGTCCTGGACCCATATATCTAATTTCTTTAAATATCTAACTCCATTTGGAGGACTCCTAGCCTCTTTAAATTTACATGTTCAATACTGACTCCTCTACTTTCCTCCCTCAACCTGATTCTCTTCTGGTGTCCCCATCTTAGAGAGTGACTCCATCATCCACATAATGGCTCAAGTTAGAGTCTTCAGGAGCATCATGCTTTCCCTCTCCCTTTATCTATCCACATTTTCTCTTACCTGCCTTTAAATTACTCTCTCCAACAGTAGGAGGAGTTATTCTTATAAGAGCAAATCAAATCCTGTCATCCCTTTGCTTAAAATCCTCAAGAGGCTTTTCATGGCTTTTAGGATGAAAGCAAAATCCTAAATCCTATATATGGTCTACAAGATCCCAAATGTGTGGCTTCCACCCTCTTCTCTAGCCATTCTCAGCTTCTATCAGTTCCCTCCAAATGCCCTAAACTACCTTCCTACCTCAGGGACTTCAGATACGATGTTTCTTCAGCCTAGGAAGCTCTTTCTCCCCACATTGCACTGCACTCCTAATTAATTCCCCTTAGTCATCGAGAATTAAGCAGCAATAAACAATAGCTGCGGGGGAGCATCTTAGGGATGAGGTGGGTGGAGAAAGTGACATCTTTGTAGGAGACTGAGCAGGAATTGTCCATGAAGCAGGACAGGTATCAAGAGAGTGTGAACTCACAGAAAGCAAAAGACTCACAGCCAATGCTAGAGAAAGACTAAGGGAGACACGGATTGAAATATCTTCACTGGCTCTTACATTTAGAAGGTCCTTGGTGACCTTAGCAACAAGATTTACTCCTGAGTGAAATGAGGAAAGAGAACCTAACTTTATGTTTTTCAAATTAGCATTTTTTAAATCTATTGGTTTTTAGAGAGAGAGAGAAACATCAATTTGTTGTCCCATTTCTGACTCAGTACATAGTCATAGGATTCTTGTATGTGCCCTGACTGCAGATGGAACCTGTCACCTTGGCTTATTGGGATGATGCTCTAACCAACCAAAGAGAGACCCTAAATTTAGACATTCTTTTAAAAACTTGGCTATGAATGGAAAGAGAGCGAGAGAGGATGGTAAATGGGGATATGGGATGGAAAAATGTGTGTGTGTGTGTGTGTGTGTGTGTGTGTGTGTGTGTGTGGTTTTTTAAGATAAAAGAACATGTTCCTCTTTAGAAAGAAAAAGGCAATGAGAGAGGGAGGGGGAGAGAGAGAGAGAAAAAGAGAAGTTATACCAAGAAAGAGGGGCTAACCGACAATGCAGGGTCCCAGAGGAGGCATGAGGGGTTGAATCTAAAACACAAGTAGCCCAGGACTAGAAGAGAGATGGATGGTGATAGATACCAATTCTCAGAAGAAGACAGGGTCCTATGAGTATAGTAGATTCATAAATCCTAGATTTGGGATCAACTTCAAAATGTCTTTAGCTTCAGTCAGGTGATTCAACAATATCTCTACACATAAGTGGCCCGGAGAAGTTCACAGTTTACCTATCCATATGACATCTTCGGAACCACATTCTAAACTTTTGGGTGAATAAGTTTTCCTACTTGTGCATAACGCTACTTACTGCTTGATACAATTATGTGGTAAGCACAGGTTATGCCTTATTTTACCATTTTCCTGATTCCCTGTAAGGGAACTGGCTACTGTTTGTAAGCACTATTGACTGTCACTGCATTTAAGATGCTAGTCAAAAGGTTTTGCTCTTAAAATAGATATGTACATGTTTACTTTCCTGGTGTATTATTTGATTAAAATATTTTTTATCAGAAACAATAACCCCTTTAAAACACTTTTATGGAACATGGCTATGGCCAAAAAGTTAAATCCTAGTAAAGTGTCCTGAAGTCTCTTCCTGACAGGTAGATTTCTAAAGTGACAAATGGAACTCAAGATACCATTCAAAATTAAAATTGTAATATTGAGTGTGTACCTTCTACATTCTCACAGGCTTTTTTGCTGTAGGTGGTGCAACTCCCCTTCCAATCAGCATTTTTGTGGGGGTTAGAAGATTTGAGCTGGACTCTGACCATCTCCTACCCACAGACCAAGAGTTTTTTTACCTAGAAGTTTGCAGATGATCAGCTATGGACTCTAATGTGTTTCTAAAATTGTGTGAGCAACAATTCTGTAATCTTCCAAGGAGACCATCTGTAAATGGATCATTATCTAGCCCAGTCCTCACAGACTATAGCTTTTTGGAGTTTGTTTACTATTATCCATATTCCACTTTTTAAATCAGTCTTCTTAATTACTTTCACTTAGGCATTGGTCAGGAGTAGATGACTTCACAAGGAACAGCAAACTAGAGACATTATCTTTGATGTCACAGACTTTTCTGAACAAGATGCTGCTCTGGAGGTAGCTGTTGTTTTCTAAGAGACTTTTGTGGTGTATATGAGACTTTCACCATCAGGATATGTGGCTTGTGGACGGGAGTTCAGGTAGGAATGAAAACAGGCAAGGAGGCACTGAGGGAGAAACATTGAGGTTTTACTGTTTTGTGGCCCATTGTTACTAGAATATTATAAAATTCTTGTTCACATGCTGGTGTGTGCCTTACAAAGCAAAACAGCTGAGGTATACCAGGATGTGTATTCCATTTCTTTAATATCTGTTCCCCTGTCACCACTGGGATGACGTAATGTTGAATACATGCCTTGCAGTATTCAAGGCATGAGCTATGAGAAGAAAACAGCTGTCATTGTTGAGGGATTAGCCCACCTTTGGCTCAGGGTCTCTGGCTGGGTCTGACTCTCAAACCTTGGTGCTCTCTCCTTGGCTTCAGTACTCGGTCTCATGTAACCCATTGGCTCCTGCCTTAACCCAGAATACATCACATGGATTTGTGCAGTTAGCTGGAGCTTGCCCATTATAATGAACTGAATAAAAAAGTGGAAAAGCTTTAGCCCATGTAGCTTCCCTTGTTCACCCCTGTGTTCTCGTTCAGTAGGGAGGAATTCATGTATTCCAACCTCTTTGTGCTGGCTCTCAGCTGTCCAAAGCCCACTTATTAAACTTTGGTTCCCACAACATTCCCATCTTCCTAATCTTCACTTTCCAAAACCTATCAGAATTTACCTACCCTATGTTTAATTCTCATTAGTAGAAGGCTGACTGATTTGGGAGAATACTTTAATGCTAGGATAGAAGATTTTCTCAGAGATGCCAGCATATTCATATGAATGTTTTTGTTTGTTTTTTTAAGGTACATCAGTGTATAAAAGAAACATCAATCGGCTGCCTCTTGCATGCCCCCAGCTGGGGACCTGGCCTATAACTCAGGCATATGCCCTGACTGGGAATCAAACTGGTGACCTTTGGTTCAGTTTGCAGGTTAGTGCTCAACTCACTGAGCCACGCCAGCCAGGGGAAAGGTATAGATCTTTTAATGGTGGCATTCAGATACATGATAAGTTAGAGAAAGAGATTTGGAGACATAGGAATTAAAAATGACTTTATCTGATTGCCCCACTGATCTTGCTACTAAATAGGTGAAAAAAATGATAGAAAACAAATTCTTGAAATACAGGAAGATTATTTCAAGGGCCACATGTGTCAGTGAGTCAGAGAGAGACATTGGCAGTTCCACAGTTTGTGTAGAGGAAGCGTGCTGGAGTCCAGTCAGGTTGGAGGGGTAGGCTAGAAGCTGCTTTTACATAGCACTTTACAAAATCATTGATAACAATGTTAACTGGCCCCATTAAAGACTGGAGGGTGCTGATGGAGTGTATTGAAGGGTGTTAAAGCACCCTTCTCAAATTTCTCTCCTGGATGCCAGCCAACTTTGCAGTCACGCAACATTTACTGAGCACCTAATATATGCCAGGCCTTAGTTAAATCCTTTATATCATAAATGTGGGATTTCTTTCACATACAAGGTCTTATGAAAGTCTTGTATTTATCTATACTGAAATGTAAATTGAAATAATGAAAATCATCCGTATGTATAATCTGCTAATGACATGCACATTTATCCTAAAAAGAAGAAAATTATGTATCACCTGATCACTTGATTTTTTTTCCATACAATCCAATCATGAAGTGGTGGAAAAAATCTATATTTGTGCATTTTTATCCCAAATCATCACACTCCTAGACACAGACATATAAAAAGGTTCATCCATTCATTCCATTTTTTTTTTCCGTGAACATACTAAACAAAGAGAGTCACAGAGATACTCACTCTTTTACATCTGAAATATACCCATTTTTCTGTAGAGGTGCAACATAATCGTGGAGGTACTTACCCACTTCACAGACTGATATGACCCACTGGGAGGACACACATTCATACTCTTTCTACATATCTGTACGTGTAATATACTCACCTCTGGAATAAAACTGTAATAGAATAGCTGGCTATGAAAGAAATACCAATCAGAACACCACCCCACCTTCACACATCTCTACCACAAAAAGGGCCATTGACAATGGTCTGGGTGCTGTACCTCTGCACTTGGCAGGTTATAAAATGACATGCTGATGGGAAAATATTCCTGAGATGAGATTATAAACTCTCCAGTAACTGCATAAATAATCTCATAATCTAGTTAAAATTTCAAAAATCTTCCACAAGATTTCTCACAAATAGTTATTTTAAAAATAAATTTAGATAGAAGAAAGTGTTTTCTCATGACTGGATGAAATAACATTTCACCTTCCTTCAGGTGGAGTCCATGACCACCATCATCAGAGTCACCACGGACAGCTTAAAACACAAATTAGTGGCTCCCTCTTCTCACTACTGGATGTAAACTTGAAGTTGGTTCTTCCACATAATTGAGGAAAGACACACTAGTCTGTCTGCTGGCTAACCCAGTGTTCTCGTTCTCTTCCTTCAGCCTAACAACAAACTGGCTCCACAAGGAGGTTGTAAGGTTTCATGCAGAAACTAGGGTTGATAAGGAAAACCTCCCAGGTGACTTGTTGGGAACTACCCTGCCTGGTTTCAAAAGCTGTAACCCCCATGGCTAAGGCTGAGTGAGTAACCTTCAGACCATAAGCCACTAAAGAGACAAAGCTTATCTCTCTGTCAGGGGCGCCATCTCTGCCACTTTTACTTCACCCTGCTTGGCCCCCAATACTTGATCAGTTAGCCAATGATGATGAGTAAGATTTCTCAAGGCAGGGATGACCTAAGACAGGCACGGTCACGGGAAGCCCCCAGGGAAGGACTTGGGGGCTACAGAAAAGGGCTGATGGACCCTTATGTCATCATTCAGGCTTTGACATAGCCTGAATCCTCAGTGTCTTCCAGAAGTCTCCTAATCTCTTGGCTTCCTTACCTCCCAGGCCTGACTTAAGCCTAAAATAATGCCGATGGTGGGTGCAGCCCTGTGTTTGAGAAGGGCAGGTTCCCTAGGGCAATCAGGCATAAGAAAGAATGTGTAAAATCCTGTGAAACCTGCCGTATTTAGAATGCTCTCAATTAAATGATAAGGGTCCAAGCAGGAAGTGAGTTTGTTCTCCAAAGTTTTATGGTCATTTAGCTATATGACGCTGACTCAAAGTAGGCCCTCAGAGTCCTTTGTATCTTATCTATTGTTTGATCCTTATTGCCTGATAATGATTAATGAGCTTTATGAATACACCCTGTATTTCTATGCAAATTGAATCCAGTAAAAGCCTCTCAAGGTAAGGGTCAGGTCGCTCTCCTCTTGAAAGGGTGGCCGAGGCTTGCTGTCTCCTTGAGCGAGAAGTCCCACTGTCCCTTTTCCTCCACAGGACTTGGTAGTCTGTGTGAATTTATTTTGTCTCATCCATAATGCTGTGGACACTGCAGGCTGGTGTCCACATCAGCAACTAGTGTCAAAAAGCTTGTTTTTAAATCGATAAGGTTGTAATCCCAATAGAAAAGCTCAAAGATTTTTAAATCTTCAGGGTGATCCCTGCTGTCTCTCTACTTCTCCATAAATATGTAAGGTGGCAGGGATTCAGGATTCTTTTCTTGGAACACTTCCCAAGGTGCATCCAGACCCAGGCACAAGTGTCCATGGGTGGGTCGACAGCTTGGGGATTCACGCATTTGGCTAGCCCCAAGTCTGTGAAGTTTTCTTTTGAGCCTGCACTGTTTTGTTGTGTTTATTCAAGCCACGTATTGCATGATAATATCTAAATCTGAAAATCACTTGGCATATATTATTTAATACATTTATCTATGATTTGGAAGAATAAACACCCCCATCAAAAATTGCACTCCTACTCCCATAGGTGACATTATATTACTTTAGATAGTTAGGAGTCATATAAATGGGAAAAATTGCAGAAAGACATTTTGGAATTTTGACTTAAAGTATCTTTTCTAAATTAGATGCTTGCTTAAAATGTCATTATAGTTTAATCATTTCTTTTGTGTGTGTAAATATGTAAAAACGGCTTAAACATATGTTGATTCCATGATCTCAATTTAATACTCTCATAGCTCAACAGTTCTTATAGCTATTGAATTTTCTTTTTTTGCCAGTTAATGGTAGTGTGAAGAAATTGTGGAGAAAAAAATTTTTTAAGATTTTACTTGTAGAGAGGGGTAAGCAAGGGTAAAAGAGAGGGAGAGAAACATCAGTCAACTTCTCACACACACCCTGACTGGGGACCAACCCCCAACCCAGGCATGTGCCCTGACTGAGAATCGAACCAGAGAACTTTTGCTTTACAGGATGATGCCCAACCAACTGGGCCACACCTGTCAGGGCATCAGGGACAATTCTTAGAAAGTTAAAGTAATGCTTTAATGACGTCAAGTCAAGTAGGTGAAAATTTTGTGATAGGGTCAATAACCTGAAAAGTTTCTCATTAATATAAAAGTATGCATCACCATTTGTAGTATTATAATACTGTATTTGAGTAGCATCTGTGAGGATAATCTAATAGAAGGAGGGAAAATCTGGAACACAAAGTAACCTGATTGGGGAACCACTGAATCACATAATAACCAGATTAAAACTCTTGGTTTAGATACAAAAATAAAGGCAGAATGAAGAGAAGACCTACATCTGTAAAATCATAGAGATGAAAAAGATGAGCATAATTATTCACTAAGTTTTGAAATCATAGAATGAAGGTGCATTTCTAAAAATTTATTGAGATAAGTTTAGGCCAATTACATGGAAATATAAGTTCATATTAAAAAATAGAATCGACCTAAGTGGTGTTGTAGTAGATTTTTTTCCAACTTTAAAAATCCAGTGGCTAATAGAGTCTCAGTGAGTTGCAAAGAGTGGCGAATGCCTGTCATTTGAAATTGATATCCAGAATGAGAGCCAAGACTTGCCATCCCTCGTCTGGTGATATATCCCTTAGAGATAACATATCTGATGGGCCATACAACTGGCCCAGCCTGGTAATCATAATTTTAATAAATAAAAACCAGATGAATGTAAAAAGAATATGTGATTAGTAAAAGAACCACAAAATACTTGTGTTTGGGCTTTAAAAATATTGGTATGAACATGTGTACATAATGTAAATTTTGTCATACACCCGAAGGCTAATTTTCTTCATAAAATATTAGTGTGTGACTCGCTTCTTGCATTACTCTAGGATAAATATGTTTTACTGACCTACAGGCCTATACAGGCCTAATCTGTGCTCCATTCCCTCCCCCTGCCTCTGAGATCCTCTCCTATCTTGATCGCACTCACTCACTTTCTGCGGATCATAGAGCCCTTGCTGTTCCTCCAGCACTCTCATCCCTTCCTGCCCTGCTGCCTTCACCTGTGCTGTTCCCATTGCCTGGATGCTCTTCTCCCACATGTATCTGCAGCTTAGTCCCTCCCTTTACCAAAGCTTTGTGGAAATGTCTCTGTCAGAGAGCTCACCCCTGACTATCCCAGGAAAAATATCACTGTCTTTTCTGGTCCTTTGTCCTATTTTATTTTTCTTCTTAGCACTCAACAACACCTAACATTATATGTATGTATTTGCTTATTATATGTCTCCCCCACTAGAATGTAAGTCAGTTCTGTGTTAAGGAGGGACTTTATATTCCAAGTCTAAAATAATGCCTGGCATAGCACACACATTCAGTAAATACTTGTTGAATGGGTGGAGGATAAGCCAGGTTCAGTTAAGTGTTGGACTACTGATTACATTGGATGGCACAGGAATGAACGCTATAATCAAATACAGGCCGCCCCTTCCACACAGCTAGTGACCATTAGATTGTAGGTACCATAGATACTGCTGCCTGGTCTATTACAGCACAACTTTGAAAAAGAGCTAGGGTTTATGGTGCGATTCAGTAAGTTAATTTCATCCAGGTAACCCTGCTCCTTAAAAACTCTTATCCCACTAAATTTGAAAAATCCAAAGCCGGTCCCCAGATTTCTTTGAATTCCCTAGGAATGGTTTTGTTTTTTTTTCTGCTTTCACCATCTTGGTTCAATTTGGGAATCATCTTGTCTTGTTGTGCCTGGTTTCTCTTCTGCACCTGTTGACCCACATGTGGAACTAATTCATCTTAAAAAAAAAAAACAAAACCAAAACCCTCAAGCAAATGATTTGGGTTTTAGCAAACCTGACTGATGTGCTAGGAGAGTGGAGGAATTTCACTTACTGGGGAGGAAGGATTGTGACAATTACCTCAGAGCAACAAAAATCACTTTAGGTAAATGTTGAAGAGGACTATTTACTAAAACCTTTCTGGCACCCCACCATAGGAGATCCTTTTCACTGGTTAATTTATTGTTATGGCTTCTTCCCTTTATCACTTCACATTCCTTGCGTCCTGTCTCTGAGACTGCGTTTAAAGAACTCCTAATCCTCCATTTTTGTTTGGTTCCCACTCCAAACTCAGCTCTGGGGTTATCTTTGCATATTCAAATTCATCAAGATGCTCAGCCGAAAAAAAAAAATCCCCACCAACTTTCTTCTCTAAGACGCACCCTCAAAAGATAGATGGATGCATTTTTCGCCTTCTCTAAGACGCACCCTCAAAAGATAGATGGATGCATTTTTCGCCTTAGTTATGAAAAATTTGCTAGGGCATTCTAGTTTGTAGTTCCAGGCAGTACGATATATTTCATATTACTATCAGTCTTTAATCTTTTGGGAAACAGTGTATAGCTTAGGTGTAAAAAGAACTATATTTTTGCAAGTATTTCATTGTGATGTAAAGGAAATTAACATTTATTGAAAGATTACTATACATTAAGCACTGTTGGACTAGGTGCTTTCATTTTACAACTTTATTGAACCCCTGTCAGGCACACACTTTCACTTAAGGCATTTACTAGAGCTCACCTCCCAGCTTGCCCATCCAGGAGACACCTAGACTGCCCCTGGTGATTTGGAGACCATGGACAGCAACCTCCCGTGCAAGCAACTTCCTGTTTACAGGTAATTAGAGCACCCAATCATCTTTCTTTACGGGAGTGCCGAGACCACCTCGAGAGCAAAGTTCAGACCTCTCGATTTGTTGTTAAGTTTGGGCCTTTAACTGGCATTAAGCGTATATATATATATATATATATATATATATATATATATATATATATATATATATATATATATATATATATTAACACCACATGTCCGTTCTTATTTAACCAGAGGCTTGGCTTCAGAAAATGATAAACTTTTCGCCAGAATTTGAGAGGATTCAAATTGTTTCCCACTCCTCGGAGCTGAGGAAGAAGGTACGTAGCTAACAGACGCAAAACCAGCCTGTCTTCCTTCGCGAAAAGGCCAAGGATACCAGAAACACCAGGGTGACCAAGCTACGCGGGAGGAAAGCTGGGTTCAGCGGCTTAAGGAAGGGACCAACTTAGAGGTCGCCCCATATTAGCGCAGCCCAGGCCTGCCCGCGCCGCCCACTCAAAATATCCTCCTTAGCCTCCCTAGTGCTCAGCGCGGCCCCTGTCGGAAAGGGCAGGGCAGAGACAAACAAGCAGTCAGCGCGCGCGCAGCCCCTCCTCCCGTGACGTCAGGTCCGCGACGCGGCGCAACGTAACGCAATGCAAATTGGGAAAGGGGGATGGACTGGGCTGGCTTCCGTCGGGAGAGCAAAGGCTGTTTCTTCCCGAGGTTGGTTGGAGATGGGCCTTTGGCGGGGAAGCAGGCATTAGTGAAGCCCACCGGGGGCCAAGGTGAGTGCGGGTCCGGGTCTTGGCCTTTGTTTTTCGGAAAGACGTCGCAGTGAACCCCCTTTTCTCCCATCAGCTGCTGGTCACCCGGGAGAGTAGCCTTGACCACGGAGGGGGGCAAGTCTCCAGGTGAGACCACCCCGAACATAGAATCTGCCATTGGAGGAAGAGCCCAACCTCTAGTCTTTCCCGCTGCCTACCTAGGGTTACCCAGCGAGTTTCGTATAGATTCTGTTTTTTCTGTCTCAAGGTGGCCTTGACCATTCCTTCTCCTTCTTGTACACTCAGACCCGAATTTGACCTACTACTGCTTGTTTCCATTTCCTCAGTTTTGTGTGTGTGTGTGTGTGTGTGTGCGCGCGTGCGTGAACGAGATACAGTCCCAGGCCTTACTACAAACCTTCAGAGTGTTTCCCAACCCCTCCCTTGTCCCAAATTTGCTTTTAGTGAAGTCCAGGTATGAGTTTACAGGACCTATAAGCTCATCAGAATTAAAACTGTGACTTTTCCCAAATTAAAGCCTTCCTTTCCTAAAATTTGGCCTCTCTTACCGAGTTGTGGGACAAGTGAATTTCACCTCCACTCCACCTTGGCAATTATCAGAACTCTGAATCTCAATGATGTTCATTAATGCATAAAACTGCAAACTACACTTCTGGGTTTATTTCGCGCTGCCAGTTCAGTTTGTGACCTTGAAGCAAGTCAATTAATCACTAACAAGATTTACTTGGAGGCAGAGGTGTTGCAGAGCCAGAGGAATTTAATATTTGTTATGAGTTGTGAGTTTCAGATGAAAGGAATGCCGCACTACAGGATGCTACTCTTTCTGAATCTGCAGGCAGTTTCAGATTCAGAAAATCTGCAGTTTTTATGTTTTCTGCTTCAGCTGTTAAAAATGTCAAGTTGTATTTGTTAAGGATGTGTTCCTGTTCTAGTCTTCTTGCTCTCTGGCTTTGCTATGTAAGCAGATTTTGCATTTTGCCAGATTCGGTTTTAGACTCATTGTTGAATGCCTTCCCTGGTGGATTTAGATAGTTTTCTTATGACTACACAGTAGTGGACCAGTTTTTGTGAAAGGTGATGTAGGTTGTGCTGTATCTTTATTGATGTGACTAGCTCGAAGTGTGTATTTCTTTCCTTATGACACATTACGTGCATCTTTAAAATTAGTTAGTAAGGACCATATAGAAGTAAACAACAACCTGGCATTAATGACATAAATATGCAGTGATTGCACTTAGGTATGTATTCTATTCTTCCAGAAAACAGTGCCTGAGGAAAACTGACAGAAAAATATTTTTTTAAAGATTTTTTAATTTATTTATCTTTAGAGGGGAAGAGAAGGAGAGAGGGAGAGAAACATCGATGTATGGTTGCCTTTCATGCGTCTCCTGCTGGGAACTGGCCTGCAGGGAACCGGCCTGCAACCCAGGCATGTGCCCTGACTGGGAATCGAACGGCGATTGTCTGGTTCGCAGGCCCACGCTCAGTCCACTGAGCTACACCAGCCAGGGCAGAAAAATATTTTAAAGCTCTTTTTCTAACCTTAATTTTTTATATATTTATTTGAACTTTATTAATGATCATGGTATTTGTTTATTAAGGTGAACATAACAGGAAAGAACCAAAGATACTTTTGTAAAATAACACAATTGGAAGATAAATCCAGCACAAAAGATTTTTTCCATAAGATTTCTAGCATTATATTTTATTATGAACTTGTATACATGAAAATATACTTTCGTGGAGATGAAAAGAAAAAAGTGTCCATTATATGAGCCACTGATACTAGAAATAATTTTTAAAATCTTGGTTATCCTTCTAATTACCTATTGCTGTATAACAAAGCATTTCAATACAGAATGGCTTAGAACTGCAATTTATTTAGTTGTCTTTCTCTCGGCTGACTGGACTCAGCTGGTTGGTTCTCATTTGGGGTTTCATGCACATGTAGTCAGATAAGCAACTAGGATTAGAGTCATCTGAAAGCTCAACTAGGCTGGACATCCACAGTGGCTCATTTGCTTGGATAGCAGTTGATGTTGGCTGTGAGTTCCCTGGACATGTCAGCCGGACTGCCTGCATGTAGACTCTGTGCGGCTGGGACTTCTCTCACTATGGAAGCTGAGTTCCAAGAGCAAGTGTCTCAAGAGACAGGAAGTGAAAGCTGTCTCTTAAGCCTGGATCCAGAAATTGGTTACAGCATTACTTCCAACATTCTCTGTTGGTCATCTTCGTATTATTTCATAGCTTCTAGTAACATGGTTACATCTGTTCTTTATGTCTATGGTACTCTATTTACTCCACATTAGAATTTACCTGAGGAGCTTTACAAAAATATGTCTCTGCAAGTCCTGTGCTCAGAAATTGTGATTTAAGCTCTATTTATCTATTTTGCAATCTGTTAAATTAAGGATATTAAAGAGGGAGTGGATATAGGAAATAGTTTAAGGTTATAAATGTAGCTAGACATCTGTTCTAGAAAACAGTTACCCTTCTGTTTTTTCTAGCAATGGTCCTTTAATAAAACCAACAGATTTTGTCACGGTTTGTTAGTCCCTATATTATGGTATCTAGTTTTGCGTTATCAATGTGTACTTATCATTCATCTTAAGAGGTAGAAACTTTTTAAGGAGGTATATTCTTTGCATCTCCTGTAGCTCCCATCACTGTACCTTGAGTAGGTGTAGGTATCCCATTGAAGCCAGTTTATATAGTCACTCTTCAGAACAAGTGCTAGTTCTTTTACTTTTTTTTCCATTTAAGCATTGTAAGTGCTTCATAAATGTTCTTTGAAATTCTTGCTTTATTTGGTTTTAATGATATTGCACTTCTGTGGTTTTCCTTCTAGTTTCTTTCCTTCTTCCGGAGCCCTCTTCTCCTCCCAGTTTCTGAGCCCTTTAAGTATCTTAGCTGCAAAGAAACAAAATCTCATTCCTTGGTGATTCTAGTTCTAGATTTCAGTTACTAGTATAAATGATGTCTGTGTTTTAAAAACTTATCAAAAGTTTAGTAAAATATATGAAAGTGAAGAAAATAGGCTTCTTTTAAATCATTTTGTAGATAACATTATCACATCAGTGTCATATTGTAGATAACATTCATATTGTAGATAATATCACATCAGTGTCAAGACTTTATTGTCTCCCAAAACAATAGGGATTATCAAAATTAACATTGATCCCTGGTATCTTTCAGTGGGTTGAGTGCTGACTGTGAAGGAAAGGGTCGCAGGTTGGGTTTTCAGTAGTCAGGGCACGTGCCTGGATTGTGGGCCAGGTCCCCAGTGGGGAGTGCATGAGAGGCAACCACACACTGATGTTTCTCTCCCTCTCTTTGTCCCTCCCTTCCCCCTCTCTAAAAATAAATAAATGAAATCTTTTTCAAAAATTACACATTGATGTCTTAATAGTTGATTTTATATCTGTCTTGTCTCTGTGTAGAGTTTATCTGGAATTTTTTTCTTTGTTATTCTTATTTATTTATTTTTTTTCTTTTTTTAAATTTTTTAATTGATTATGCTGTTACAGTTGTTCTATTCCCCCCTTTCATCCCCCTCCACCCTGCCCCCCATCCCCACCCTTACCCCCCCTTTAGTTTATGACCATGTGTCTCAAGTCCTTTACATTCTATATTTCCCATGCTATTCTTGCCCCCCTTCTATTTTCTATCTACTGTCTATGCTACTTATTTTTTGTACCTTCTCCCCCTTCTCCTCCTCCCACTCCCCTGTTGCTAACCCTCCTTGAGATCTTCATTTCTATGTTTCCACTCCTGATCTAGCTGTCCTTTTAGTTTGCTTTCGTTTTAGGTGTGGTTGTTAATAACTGTGAGTTTGTTGCCCTTTCACTGTTCATGTTTCTTTAACTTCTTTTTCTTAGATAAGTCCCTTTAACATTTCATATAATAAGGGCTTGGTGATGATGAACTCCTTGAATTTGATCTTATCTGAGAAGCACCTTGTCTGCCCTTCCATTCTAAATGAAAGTTTTGCTGGATAGAGCAATCTTGGTTGTAGGTCTTTGGATTTCATGACTTGGAATACCTCTTTCCAGCCCCTTCTTGCCTGTAAGGTCTCTTTTGAGAAATCCGCTGACAGTCTGATGGGGACTCCTTTGTAGGTGACGTCCCCTTGGCTCTTGCTGCCTCTAGGATTCTCTCCTTCACTTTAATTTTGGCTAATGTAATTATGATGTGCTTTGGTGTGTTCCTTCTTGGGTCCAACTTCTTAGGGACTCTCTGAGCTTCCTGGATTTCCTGGAAGTCTATTTTCTTTGCCAGATTGGGGAAATTCTCCTTTATTATTTGTTCAAATAAGTTTTCCACTAGTGGCTGTGCCTTTTCCCCTTCTGGTACCCCTATAATTCGGATGTTGGAGCGTTTAAAGATGTCCTGGAGGTTCCTAAGACTCTCCTCATTTCTTTGAATTCTTGCTTCTTGACTCTTTTCTGTTTGGCCATTATTTGCTTTCTTCTGGTCCACTCCATTGATTTGAGTCCCAGTTTCCTTTTCATTGCTATTGGTGTCCTGTGCAATTCCATTCATTTCAATTAGTTTTGCCTTCATATATTTGTCTAATTTGTGGCTATAATCAACCAGTTCTGTGAGGATCCTGATGACCAGTGTTTTAAACTGTGCATCTGAGAGTTTTGCTATTTCTTTATCGCTTAGATCTATGGGCTCTGGGGCTTTGAGATCTTCTTGCAACATTTTTGGTCTGTTCGTGCCCTTTAAGTGTGAGAAGCGGCGCCTTGGACTCCCAGGTCGCTGGGTTGTGACGCTGTATGTGGGGGCGTGGTCAGAGCGGGGAAATGGCGACCCCTCTGCTGTTTCTCACAGCTGGGTGAGGAGCAGCGCCTTAGGTGGTTCACCTGGGCCAGGCCACTCAGAGTCACTGGGTTATGACTCTGTATGTGGAGGTGGGGTCAGAGCAGGGAAATGGCGGCGCCCTTCACTGCCGCTTGCCGTGGGGACCCGCCAGGCCCTGGTCCAACCGCCCACTC